GCATCTCTCAGAGGCCCTAGAGGGAAGGGGGAGCACATAAGGATCTGTTTTTTTCGTAGGCAGGCATAGATTTACTGGAAACAAGAGATTGCAGCCTTCTCCCCTCCTCCACATTTGTGAGGTTTGGTGCAGCAGCACATTCACTCTCATGTCAGATGCTACGGTACTGACTGTGCAGACACATGCATCCATCCAGTCAGGACTATGTCCGTTCCTCCATGCCCCAACTTGTTGTGTTAGAAACATCCAGTCTCATTTTGGCTTGTGAACCTCCTTCGCCCTCATGCATCTTTATCAGGACACTGAGATTCCAGGAGGCACTTCCCAGTATGTGGGGCTTTGGTTAGGCACTGCCCCTTCTACTGTATTAAGATCTAATACAAAATAAAGACAATCAAAACAGTTTCAAAGCAATAGAAATATATACCATTTTCCACTACAACTTTGAACTTACATTGTAATTACCTTCACTTTCTTGTAGGAAGGACCTCAGGAAATAGTACAACTTCCATATGAGGAATGCTTCTCCTTGCTTTGAGATCCCACAGAAAACTGTAGGTTTGATGGGCTTTTGCATTCTGACAATTTTTGATCCATCTGCCAGAATACCTGGTACTGAAAAATAGCGAATCAGTGTAGCTCTGCTTGAAGGATAGAGGGGGCTCTTGTTTCAGTTCAGAGTTGAATTGACTTGATTGGAATGAGTTGTTGCACATCTTTGGGAAACCCTTGGCATAAACACGAAAAAACCATACAGCATCCATAACAGTCAACTCTGGTTTTACATTTAAAAAACTGCAGCTATACTGAGTAAAAGCAAATCTATCACTTAATGCAAGGCAAATATCGATCATTATTCTTAGCCAAAGAAATTCATTATACTGTTAATACCAAGGTTGCTGGAATCTCTTCACAGTTCTGCCAATACACTGTGTGGCCTTGGAGAATTAAAGAGTGAAGGAGGTGAAAGACCTTGAACAACTTCTCTGTACCTTAGTTTTCCCCAAGGGAAAACTGGAGAACTGTTCAGAAAGGGGGGTTGCTTTTTATTCGGTACTTTAAAAACCATGGCTTTATAGCATGAGATGTAAAACCACTTTAAGTTGCTTTGTTTTTATTTTCTAGTAGCACAGAGTGGATTGATCAGTGTTGTATATTGATTCAGTGCAAAAAAAGGAGTAAAACAGGAATGTTGTGGAGACGTGGTTATATGCAGCACAGGAACCTGCCCTGCTTTAAACTGGTTTGGTTAAATCTGTCCAAAAAAACTGGACAAAAATACATTTTGGTTTATCTCAGATTAATTAGGAACAGATTGAAGCTAAAGAAAATTAAAACCACTGTTCAAACCAAGGCAATGCCATGTGCAGTCAAGCCTGTAAGAAACCACATGGACACCATTCTGCAAGCCTTGTAACAAGGTTTCCAGGGCTAAACGTCATTTTCACCTTTTCCATTCTTAGCTTTTATTAAGTTCTTTCTTCCTAAGTCCAGAAACAATACACCAAGAACAATCCAGACCACCTCTGTCATTACTGAGGATTAAGGAGCAAAGAGTGTAAATCATTTCTTAATTAAAAGTTGAGGGGAATGGGATGGGGGCATCATTAGGCAAACAAAGCAAAGCACCTAGTACAATAGGTGGTAAGTAGACTATTAGTCTCTGCTAAGTACTTCTTCTTTAGCTTGAACCAGGAAAAGCAATTTAGGGGATAAAAAGGGGATTTAGCATGAACATATCCCATCTATCTAAAGATGTGCTAAACTCAGTAGCAAGGCCCCTCAAATTAGTAAAGGGATAGAATTTACATAAAAAATACTCTGTGCTTTTTCCTTAGTCCCCACGAGTTGATCTGATTTTAATGCAGATGCTAATGGAGACCAAGGTAATCCGAGCTTACAATGGTGCTTGATGGAAGATGTTAAGCAAATGGTTCTTTGAAAAACGTCTCTCCAGCCCATGGAGTGCAACAGATTGGTTAGTTCTTGTTTTCTCTTGCAGTTTTGAAAAGAAATATTGAACTCTTGAAATATTTGACCTGGCTTTGCTGCTGCAAACACTAGTTTTAACTATACAGAAAGTACTGTGATAGGGATTCAGAAAATCCTTTGCTTTGCTTTGCAGTGTTAAGCCCCTTTGCTTTTTTTTTTATGTCTCAGTTTTTCAGTTGTGGAATACACAGAGGAAGGTGGGGGAGAGGAAGGTATGCTGACTCCAAACACTCTGCTAATCCTCCCTCGCCAGAGAGCAATTAAGGCAACATTCACAAAACCATTTAGCTTTTCTGTTCTTCACTTCTGATCAACTTTTTTCCTTTTAATTCTTTAGGGTTACAGGTGAACCTCTTGACCCTTTTCTGTTTTATGGTATCAGGAAGGCTATTTCTCTGGTTTCTTATTTAATTTAAAACCTTATCCTGAAGCTGCCTCCTGGAGAGCTTTCAATTTCTGTTGAAGTTGACAAGAGATCTATATACACTACAGATTGAGGCTTAAGTGTACTGACTGTCAGGTCACATATCCCTTTACCTTTCTAGTTCAGAAAATCTACAGTAGAGAATAATCATATTTTGGTAAAGGAGAGACTAGCTGATAAAACCACCTATTCTCCATTTCTAATGCCCGAGTCTACTAAGCATAAAATATATCTTCCTAATAGTATAAATGTGATGCCAGTTGCTCTGTATTTCCCAGAACAAAAAGCATCAGGAAGGATTTTGTTCATTTGTCTCTGAACTGACACGAGTTTTTGTCATGATGCACTATCAAAATTGGACATTTAACCAGATAAACTACTCCATTCAGCTACAGATTTTCCTAAGCCAACTGCAAACAACAGTTACGTTATAATAAGGAAGCCGTTTTCTAGGTGCTTTCAGCAATGCAAGTTTAAAACCTAACCTTAAAAACCAGCATTGCAGCTGCTGTACTGTGCATTGGCATAGTTATCAATAAATCCCAGTGACCTTTCACTGACTGTAACAAGGACAACGCTTTTAAGTTCAAGCTAGTATATTTCTGGAAGCCTTAACTTACTATTTTTCAGTACTAAAACAAGTGTACAGCATGAGCCTCAGTATTTTGGGGAAGCTTTTATTTTTAGGGTATTCTGTTTCCATGCTTATATTCTTACTCCAGTTTTAAGAGGAACTGGCCGAGCAAACGTTAAGTCACAGCCCTGTGTCAGCTAAGTTCTGTGAAATTTCTGATTCACATCCATGAAAGAGTCAGGAAGTTATCCAAATATGTCACCTTGCCCCTACAAACTAGGGCACGTGGATATATGTGCGCTTAGTATAAGCATTACTATAGGATATACTGCTCACCAGAATTACTTCTACTCTGAAGTAGAATCATAGAATCATAGAATCATAGAATCATTAAGGTTGGAAAAGACCTCTAAGATCATCAAGTCCAACCGTTAACCCAACACCACCATGCCCACTAAACCATGTCCCTAAGCGCCTCATCCACACGTCTTTTAAATACTTCCAGGGATGGTGACTCTACCACTTCCCTGGGCAGCCTGTTCCAAGGCCTGACCACTCTCTCAGTGAAGAAGTTTTTCCTGATGTCCAGTCTAAACCTCCCTTGGCGCAACTTGAGGCCATTTCCTCTCGTCCTATCGCTGGTTACTTGGGAGAAGAGACCGACCCCCACCTCGCTACAACCTCCTTTCAGGTAGTTGTAGAGCGCGATGAGGTCTCCCCTCAGCCTCCTCTTCTCCAGGCTAAACAGCCCCAGTTCCCTCAGCCGCTCCTCATCAGACTTGTGCTCCAGGCCCTTCACCAGCTTCGTTGCCTTTCTCTGGACACGCTCCAGCACCTCAATGTCCTATATACATAAATATATGTAAAATATACATAAAGTAGTGTAAGGTCATACATTTGTTTACAAAGTATATTAGTCCCATTGACTTACAAGAGAAGTCTCCAAGCACCTTTATCATACCAGTTTTCTGTTTGATAGGCAGTACTAGAACGGGAAAGGCTTTAGCATTTACTTCTTATACACGTAAGATTTTTAAGCCTTGTCCCCTGCTCCTACTGGTAACACCTGTGGAGTCCTTTTAACATGCCTTCACAGTATAATCACTCAGGTTTCTGTGCTGTGAGGAGGTGTTAAAACACTCCAGCAGCGAGTAGTATATTTTGACAACTTCTTCCTATCAGTGTCCTGCTGTGAAGGGGATGGCTGCAGTCAGGCAGCATGCATCTTAACAAGGAGTCAAAGTAGGCAAGCTTTTCCAGCTTATTCTCAGAAAACTGATTGGAGTCTTATTTTGTTCTTACCTTACCCTGTAATTCTTCATCCGTCTTAAGTGTCTGGTTAATGTAAAGAAAGAAAAAAGACCACTAAGCCACTGGAAGAGAAGAAGCAACACATACATTGTTTTATTATCTTCCCCTAGTATCAGTACTAAACGTACATTTTACTGAAATTAGGGCTAGAAGTTGCTCCTGTTGCAGCACCACTTAACTGATATTTCATCGGGGCAAGTGAGGCACAGGGAGTATTTTACCATCTTGCATCAGTTTACTGGTAGAAGTGTGTAGATTAAGTACAGTCTTCCTGTGCTTTACAGGCTGTCCAGTGTCCACAATTAAGAACTCCACTGAGGCACCTCCCTGTCCTAAGTTGCTGAGAAGTGACACAGCTACAGAAATTGAAACCAAGTCCTCTGACATTCCCCTAGAGCATGGTATGGCAGCTTGAAAGGACCAGGGAAGGATGAAACTAATTTCTACAGTTTCAGTCATTCCTTGAACAGGCATACAGGCCTCAGAATCTTGCCTTTTTCAATAGCATTAAAATAATACAAGTTAAAAAACAAGAACTTAAAAGAAGTTCTAAAACGTAATCTTCAGAGCTGTAAAAAGCCAAAATTGATGCACTTCCTAATAGCATCAAACATTTGAAAGTCCTCGTTTCAGTCCCAAAGAACTTTTTATAATAGTGAATTGCATCCAGTTCAGGCTGTATGCTGATGTGTCATCTTCTCAGACATGAACTCCTGAGTACATGATTTGGTCACCCTGTGTTACCCCAAGAGGGGATGCGTTAGCACTGTGTCCATAAATTGTTCTTTTAAAGAAAGACGCTGGAGCCATGATTGCGGTATGATCAGTTGGTATTCTGTGGTTAGCGCGTGAAGGGTGCAAGAATTGTCCACTGGTAGGTGGAGGACTTAAGAACCGAGCATCTTCAGCCAACCCAATAATAGGAAGGGATGGAGCTAAAGTCATGCAGATGTTGCTGGTCTGAGGACCACTACTCAGTGAGCTTCTGGTGGCAGAACTGGAACTGGAGGGGCGAGAAGGAAGATCAGGTTCTAGTAGCCAAGTCTGGCCAGGTGCAAGTCCACTTTGCTGCTCCTCATCCTGGGATTTTAAGCATTTGCAGCAGCAAATTCCAACACAGGCACCGCCAGCAACAAATGCCACAAATACAGACCCAACAAGAAGGAACGGCAGGTACACGGGCACTGAAAATGTAAGAGTGACATTAGCCAACCATTCATTCATGGGGTATTCTAAGTTACATTCTGTTCTTCATCCCTTAAGACATGCATGCACCAGGGAGCAGGCCAGAGTAGTTTTACTCTCAACTCTTTCCTTCCTACAGCAAGAAGATGAGAAACTGGCAATTGCTATGGCAGGCTCATTTGAAAAAGCCTGAAGTACAGAGGGTTGGACCAGTCAGTCCTATAGCATCTGCCATTAATATTCATGCAAGAGCTGTTCCAGTACTCAAATGTCACAGCTACTCACTTGTGCACGATTAAGTAGAAATTCAGACTTGTAACTGAGTTTTACAGTTAGTACCTGAACTGCTGTGGGGTTGCTTATGGAATCTGGGTTTGAGGGCTACAAGCATTTTTACAAGCCAGAACTTAAGTTAAATATGTTCCTTGGAGGCATCCACCTGCATTAACAGAACAGGTTAGCAACACACATGTTCCACCAGGGATACAAACATCAGAGGTGTTACCAGATTACTTTGTTAGTAGCTTAGAGGCTTTTCTAAGAGTAGTACTGACAGAAAAGTCTTGTGAGTGAAGCCCCAAGTTATTCCCTCTTCCCAGTGAAGGGAACTGTGTGGCTCTGGCCCATGCAGCCACCAAACTAAGCACTGTGCCAGGGCTCCACGCCTTTCTGCTGCAATGGGTACAGCTTGCAGCTCTGAAGGGCAGAGAAACAGAGGAAGGATCTGGCTGATGCCACCAAGGGAAGGTGGGAGGCAAAGAAGAAAGCACATCTGATATGCCACCCCATCTGCTAGAGGCACGGGAAGCTTACCTGGCAGCGGAGGCCTGGGGCTGGGCTGCTGATGGTCCCCAGGGCACCGGCCCTGATCCAGGCGGGCCTCTCTGGACGAGCAGCAGTAGCGCAAGCTGCAGGTCCCACCGCACAGAGGCGCCCCCGCGCCATCCCAACGCTCGCGGCA